AGAAGAGAAGAGAAGAGAAGAGAAAAATAGTAAAATACTGTAAGTCGATAGTAGAATATTTGTAAATCACTTTTATTTGTTTCAAAATTTGACAAATAATTTACATGCTTCAAAAATTTCATATATAATTCTCGGTGCATTCAGATAGCTGTGTAACTTCTCTTTTTAAATATAAATAATATCAAATTTGGTGAAAATTGAACTTCGGAAAATTGTGATTTTACGTCGTAGTATAATTTAGCTTGCTCCAAATGTCTGCAAGACTAAAAAATACTACGATTTTTAAAATCGCCAGATTTTCTGATTTCTATAAAATTTGGCAGGGATAAAAAGTGCCCTTCATTGGTTTTAATTCTGGTTTAGCGTCTCCAAGACTGGCAAAAATCATTTGATTCATTCATATCAACGCTTCATACTGTTAAAGAGTCTCTCTCTTCACAAGATATTATGCGAATTAAGAAGTTTGAATTCAAACGCAAAATGTTGTTTTTTTGCCCAGTTTGCGCGCAGATGAAAGCAAACTTTAGCGCGCTTCAAGGGTTTTTGGCTAACCCCAATTTTTGACGTTTTTTAATGTTTAATTTCCAAGCTCGTGCTGGGACATGCAAAAAAATGGTGCAAGTTTTTACTAATGCAAAATATAAACTAAAGCTACTTAAAACTACTCCAAAACTTGTCCTGTTATTTTCCATTTGTAGAGTCTTCAGATATTCCTCTTTCTGGCCCTCTCTTTATTCTTTAGCTTGTCATACATGAATCCAGGACTGACCAATCGCGAGTGATCTTGTTTGCACGTGATTACATCAAACGTTGCTCTCCTTGAGGTTAGCCAAGCCCTCGGTGATTTCGGCCAGCGACCTGTCCCCACTCAGCGCAGGATCATCAGCTAAGGTCTTTGCAAGGCATTTAGTGACTGCTTCCATTTGTTTCATCACGAGGTGCATGGTACGTTCAGTCGTGTCCAGTCTCTTCTGCAGTTCTCCTAGATGCTTATTGGCTATGTAAAGAAGGAAACTGGTTAACAAATGCGCAAACTTTCCTCTATTTAGGCCACTCCAAAGTTTGCTCAAATCTTACTTAAAAGGTTCCTGTTAGTACTTCAATGTCTTTATGAAAGTCTAAAAAGGGCGCGAAAGATGATAATGCGGAAAATAGCGGTACAGTGCCAAAGTTGGTCCAAGCTCAACAAACCAACCAATGGAAATCCTGAAGCGCACGCGCGCAGACATTAACAGGCAACCCAGTTAAAATCCAACATTTTAAAAGTTCGTGGAGGTCATATTAAGAAGCGCGCAAATTTATTTCTCGCTTCCAGCGCACTCCTAGGGGGGATCGTATTTTTTTGCATGACTTTAAGGGGGGCGTTGAGAATCATTCTGGACATTTCAAATTTTCACCTGCCCCCCCTCTGCCATACATTATAAACGCAGCCTTACTGCGTGTATATTTTTGCAACCAGTTTTAACAAGGATGTAACAAAGGCTATGGTATATCAATAAGTAAAAGTAGTTTGATGGGAGAAATAGTAGTATGAGTAAAATAATCAGACCCACCTGGCTCGATGCTTTTGCTCTTACTCTGTACAGCCTGTAGTTGCTTCAGCCTCCTACCCACCCCCTCGTTAACGTCATTCAAGTTCAACAGTCGTGTTAGCACGTCAGAGTCAACTTTACTCGTATCCAACTCTTTCAAAAACGGACAGTCTGGGTAGAACTCTTTATGCGCGTCTAAAGCTTTATCGTCTACTTTCCACTGTTTTAGCGTTCCTTTACATTTATAACATTCTACTACATCATCGCGTCCAGTAAAGACAAAACCAGCTCGCGCCAGGTCAAATACGTTCGCAGAGCTTGTCGCGGGCCAGTAGTTAAATGTACGTACGCGGTTGCCTAGCAACGACAGGTCTTTTGGGTCAAGGGTGGGGGGAGGGGAGGCTTGTGGTGCTTTGGGTTCTTTTTCTTCCGTTTTTACTGCGTTTTTGGTGGGTGGCGGTTTTGGCGCTGAAAAGTGATAAATTTTGGGAAATTTTCATCAAATTTAATTTTCAAATTTCTAGTTTAGCTTTTTGAGTTTGTTGTTTTTCTAACTGCAAAGCATGGGAGATGCATGTATCGCTTAACTTTTGCACACACAAAATGCACAGAGATACAGCTTTAAGTAAAGGTTTGGAGAGGTAAGTTACAGCATTGTAGGATGGCTTGTGGTGGGGAAGATGTCAAAAAATATTTCCACCCCTCCCCCCACAATTTCATACCAGGGAATCCCCCCATGAACATTGCATAAGAATTGAAGCCTGTCAGATTTAATGGTTAAAATTCTTCATCCTGCAGCTGTACGCAAGTAATAGTTACTTGTCAAGTCATTGTCACGTCATGTTATGGTCAGCTGGAGAACTGCTGGCTGTACAAAGTCTGAAACATCAACTACATTCAAGACTCAATAGTCCCCTTCACAGTCCCCTGTGCCATCTTGAAAGGTAATCAATATGCTTGAGCAATCAAGCAAGGATGGCAGTGGCCTTGCAATGATAGAAACATGTGACTAATTGTCCATGGTGTTAAAAAGGGTCTCTATGATTTCTAGGTCACTGGTGTTCTCTCTGCAATGCACAGGCACAGTTACCTTTCAAGATGGTGCAGGGAACTGTAAAGAAATGTTTTCTAGCTATGACATTAAATTTTTCTTAGACAAATATTTTTTTGAGTCATGTTGGTAAAGAGCTTAATGTTGTAGTTTCTTTGTGTCTTTATTTATAATAATCACAGTAAACTACTTTAAATGTGAAAAGAGCTAACAAACATGGCGGCTGCCAGCTAACATGAGTAAAGTAACGCCTTGGAATGCGGGGACTGGTAACAAGTATTAAGTCACGTGATAATATGAATATATCTAACAAGTCCCCTCTTGAACTGGTTTCTAGAACCAACATACTAATATACTGACCTGAAACATGTCTCAGTGATTTCAGAGAATTAAGTGTTAAACAGAGTCATATACAATATATAATAATGCTAATCGCTTTATGGATTTACTCGATTGTTTTAATCTGACTGTCCTTGATCCTGTTTCACCTACACATAAAAGTAATCACGTTTTGGATCTAATCATTACAAGATCTGATGAAAAATCTGTGACCAACCTTACTGTACACGATCCTGTTTTATCTGATCA